CCCACACTGCAGTATTATTTATGCTAACAATTGACAGAATATCCTTCCTGCTCGTCTAATAGTAAGGAAAGCTTGCCTGCTTTGTTTCAATACCCATCCAAGCACTCTTTGATAATGCCATGACCTTCCCATTAATACTCTTCCAGCTGATTATTGGCTTTTTGTAGAGCACGGAAAATCCTTGTCATTTAACAGGCTTTGAATACTTACGAACATATCGTATCGTATACGCTACTCCATTGATATTTAACCTCGAGTGATTATTCAGTGATTGTGATCCGACGGGATTAATTTCGGAAATCTATCGTTGGGAAAGGGTTTCACTATACTAACGCGTTTATAGACAATTAAGTAAATATCCTGAACCGATTATAATGCAAACTTCCAAGTTCACAACAGAGAGTCCTGGAAAGTGGTTTCTAAGTCTCAGATTCGGGCCGTATTCAATAATGAACCACAAGATTTTAACTGACAACGTATGATATAAATCACCATCAGAGTTTTATTAGAATAAAAGAGCTATTCTAGAGGACAGTTTATTATTCGAAATAAAGGAATACTAAAGTTTTACTCCGGTGAGTGTATGTGCTAAAGCCGCACAACGTAACAACTAATCAAATATTGAAAAACTCTCTCACCAACTTACTTTTACAAAATGTATGACCGCGGTAATATTTGCCATGTCCAGTAGATCTCGATACCTCGTATGTGCGCACGCTAGTACTTGTTTCTGTCGGAACCAGACGTGGCTATTTGTACAGAACTGGAGATTCGTGTAACAGAGCGGATATGTTAAAATATATGGAGACATTGTTCGTCTCTTTTTTCGTTGTATCGAACCGTGAGTTACGCCCTGCGCCTGCTGGCTCATACCATTTTACAATTGGTAGAGATTTGACAGTGTACATCATCTTTAGAGCTATCCGCAACACACATGCCTCAAAATCAGTGACCCTTTATTGGGCACCACGCCGATCCCGGCGATAAAAACAAATCGCCAGGTTGCGAATGTCCACTGTAAGGCCTTTCTTGGTCGTCTCTGATAATAATAAAGCTCGAAGCTTTCCGATCGTTTTTTTCTATGCCTTTCCCTCTATAATAAAAACATGTGCCCATGCGTTGTCCCATGGTTGCACCAGCGATGCCAATGTAAGGTCCATAGAGGTAAACAAGGCAAGTCGGCAGACACGTATTCAAAAGGATGGGACCACACTTCATCATCGCCGGGGGGGAAGGGGGGACCGCATGGGTGCTCGCGTGCATGTATGGACCACTAGATATGCCGAGAGCCCTCTTAAACAACATCGACTCTGTTGCCCTAAGGCATATGACATTGTGTCACGGACAAAAAACATCGTCGTCCACTCTCTGAAAGTCGTGAAGGGTGTCGTAGGCACTGTTATTGTTGTCGTTGATATATATAACATGGGTGCCATATAGGCACTGTTGTTGTTGATAGATATGATGCGGGGGTTTTTGGACCGCCAGGTTGCAGTCTTTTTTTTTTTTTGGACGATGTCTTCTTTTTTTTTTGTAGCAGGTCACAAACCATGTTCTTGTCATCTGCTGATGCTTGGTAGTTTTCGCAATTTCGCAAAAGCTGAATGATACAAGACGACTGGTACATCAAGATTCGGCAGTTCTCAACTTCGGATGCGCTTTGTTGTTCGTTCAAGAAGCTCCATTTACATTGCATCACATGAATAATTTATGCATCATCAAATCAGATTGTCCGATTGTTACCCGTGAATGATTCAGCTTACGTATTTACTGCATGTGATCTATGATGAATCTAATCAGCTGGATTAGTTACCTAAATTAATTACCTATTTTAATTAGGTTTAGTATTTCGTTGACGGTGATGATAATAAATAGATCTTGTCGCTTTTAGTAATAACTTTGTGCATTCTAATAATAGCGTTTGCTCTGATTTTAAACTTTAATTGGCTGCTCTTATGGTACACCCGAGTATAAATCAAATTTGGCGTTCAAAATTGCTGCGGGTATAGCGCGCGGGCAGTGTACATGTCGGATAAAAGTAAAATCCCAGTTTACTTCTCGATATATACTGTATTGTGCCAAAACGTACGAGTTCTATATTATGCACATATGCAGCGCAAGAAGCTACTCAATTAAAAGTGAGATCATTGACAAGCAGATGCAAACAAAGCAAATTTGTCACATCTAGAGAGACAAGCTTTAATCACAGCTTTTAGTAAACATGGATAAACAATTACAAGTAATACTGAAAATCTTATATGATAAAGAACTGGTAACAAAATTTTTGCATGAAATACACATCATACGCGATTATATTGTTCCATTATTGCATTAATCGTCCTTGTTCTTTGCATTCTTCTCCGCTTTCTCCGCTTTCTCCGCCCGTTTTATCGCCTGCTTATCAACCTGTGGTTGATTAGCCTCACCAAAGGCAAACGGATTCGGGTTCTTCCAAGGTCTTCTAAGATCACCTTCAGCCTTTTGTCCCAAGATATGAATCTTAGCGAGAGGTGATTGGATTGCTGTCTTTACTGACATAATGGATTGGAGAGCTAACGGTTGTGTGAGATTAAAATAGAGGTGGAATGCCATCATGATGCCAGCTCCTGTTAAAGCGGTTTTTAAAGCTTCCTGCAACTTCTCACGATCATAGTCACGATAATTTGTCTTCACAGGTTTGGGTTGCTCGTTAGTAAATGGCTTTGCGGGTTCAACGTATTTTAAAGATGTAAGATCTATTCGTATCGATAATAAAATTCGATTAATAGAAGCACGGATTTTCGAATACAAAGTTGTTCCCCAAACATAAACGTAATAGTTACCATTGCTCTTCTCTATTTTTAGACTGATAACATAGTATAATGCTAGAATAATGATTTGCGAGACAAAATACGCTAGCCGTATGTATGTGATAATTACGGGATCCTCAAGATCTAACTTGCGAAGGATTTGGATGATACCGAAGATGAGGACCAAGTTGAGAATCTGCAAAGAGCGATTTGAATGTTTAGTATGATCAACGACCAAAGCGAGAACAAAGACGACAAGAAGGGACACTGAGACCAGAACAAGTAATATATATTTTAATTTAGTTGAGTCAGGAGCGACTGTGTAAGATCATACTTACCATAATGGTAGACTAGAGAGATCTCAACCACGTCCTAAGAGACTGAGAAGTTATGTAATGTTTTACAAAGCCACAAAATTTTATATCACATGATTTGGTATTATTATTAACACTGAATATAAATAGAAAATCAAAGCCGACGATTTTCAACTAGCCAGAATAAGATTTATATTGACTGAACATGAATGCGTGAGCCAAAAATTTATGCAATCATGCGCCTGTTAAAATTTTATTTACTGTCGGGTGACTGTCATGTGAATTAATTATGATTTGTACTAATACCACATTTCCAAAGTGATCGTTTTTATTATTATTATTGTTTTTTGATTATTATTGTTATACCGTATAGTAACAGAAGGTATGAAACGGTTGCTAGCTCGCAATGTTTTGCGTTTGGAGTTGTTCGATATACTTACAATCTCTTGTTTATTGCTGAGGCTCAGTTGAAGTTTGTTTTGAATAAACTTCTACACGCTTATCCGCTTTGAAATTATGGTTGTTACACGGATACCTGTGACAGTTACGTATCAGACTCGTGAATTGTTTTTTATTTTATATCGGGTAACGATAATAATAATAATAAATAATAATAATAATAAGACGCGTAGACATAATAGGTATCAAACTCGATTTCAATTATTTTGTTGTGTTAAAAAAACTGACTGTGCAAGTCGAAACGACAAGTTAACTCTGACCTCGATAAAAGTGAAGCGTATCATTTCCGATAAGATATGATGAGAGTTGATAATAATAACGTAAACACTGCTGGTTTGTACACTTTCTAAACACTGTTCATTCAACTTACGTTTAAGCGGCATTTAATTTATTGTATACTCCGATTCTTTAGCTAGTAAATATTGCACTCGCTGTCGTTGTAAAAGAACGATTATAGATTTCACACGATGTAGCCGAGGAAAGACAGCGACGTTTAACACGTGTAACAATTGCACAAAATCCACAAAATTGCGCCGCTATCAAGGTATGAATATGATGTAGATGATTCGTAACGTACAAGTGCAAAACAAAAAAGAAGAGAAGTAGAACTCGAAAATAAGCAATCAGTATATAGGACTAGTCCTTCACGTCAAGTGCGCAAGAACATCTTGTAAACATGACAAGAGAAGGACAACTAACATGTCGAAGTTTGTGAAAACCAGAAGTCGTAGAACAGAACCCGGGAACTAAGTATAAATTTTCATTTAATTAGAAACAAAGAAAAGAAATGTGACAGAAATCCTGAAACAAGTTCAGACTAAAATTCAGAAATTAATAGACGAAAAAAGACAAGCCCTTCGAGATCTGAAGGCCATGCAAAATCGAAATATAGAGCTGACAAGACAGATCAAACAAATGGAAGAACGAATAGCAGAGCTAGAGAAAAAGCAGATATGGGATATATGTGTAGATGAAAATGCGGAAAACAATTTTGAATCAAATAATATACAACTAGACATGGATGAAGTAAAAATGACGGAAATAGATCTACTGCTAAATGGATATTTAAATAATTTGGCTGAAACGAGCAAAAACTGACTCCTAATAATTTGCGAGTTTATTATGTATTAAGCCTAATCTTCCAAAATACATTGCTACATTAAAAACCGTTGTGTTCATGTAAAACAAAAAAGAAACAAACAGACTAATAAATTTAATGCTAAGCGAACAAGTCTTCTTTTCAATAAATTGTAGTAGAAAAATGTCAACTCAAAACGAAACCCAGGATGACATAATCGAAATTTTGCAAAATTTATCCATTCCTCGACTTTCAAGTTATTTTTTTCCCCCTCGCAGAGAATAGTAGGCCAGATCAAAGAACTGTCAAATATTGACATCGAGCACTGTATTTTTCTTATCTAAATGTAGGCTTTGGTTTATGAAATCCATAATAATAAAGCAAGTTATGTCTAATTTGGCCGATGAATTGTATTTAGAGAGGCCGCTGTATATTAATACGCAGTTAGAAAACTTTGAACAATCTAGTAAATTTTGGATGATTTAAGCTATTTACCCGAAATCAATAGAGTTTATTCTTGATTTCAGCTATTTCTTGTAAATTCGTTGTCACCAATTTCTTTCAAAGTTGAATCAGTGTCAATATAATCAATCCCATGATGTCCATTCGAATAAGGAGAGGTTGTATATTTAATGACATTAAATTGCGAACTTTGGTTGTAATATTTAATAACGTGTCGGTTAACACATTTATTGAGTATTTACCGTAAAAGACTAATGATAATGTTACATCCGTTCTGAGACTTGACTTAGGTCATTTTTCGACGTTATTACACAGATTATGTAATTTATTGATGCAAGAGATTATTCTAATGTGACTCCCGTCAAATCCTACAATAATAACATATCTATTTTTAAATTTTTATTGATTACTTCAAATTAAACCGTCAATGTCACGTAAAGCTGACAAACCAAACAGATTTTTCGAGACTGGTATTTGCCGTTTGCCAAAGAAAAATGTCTGCACTGTCTCCCTCGTTATATCCTGTTCCAACTGTGTACAAGTTTTAACACGTGTGCTCTTCAAACTACACATCGTTTTTTGCTACCATTAAAGCAAGATAAAGGATCATACGTAGACGTATCTTTTATCTAACTTTATTACCGAAAATTATAGCATATTAATTTGATACAAATTTGTTAATATCTGACTAATATACTGTCACAACACCCTTTTAATGCTGACTTTTATAAAACGCAGTATATATATATTTACGTTCTGTCTGCATACGCTAACTCACTTTTGAATGTCGTTCTGCTTATGTCTTGAATTTGCAAATAAAAATTAGACTAATTAACTTGCTCATTTCTGCACAGCTAGCATTTTAAATTTTGCATACTAAAGCCTGGAACAGGCAGTTTTTATTTATGCATTATTATCAAAAAATTCTATCGCCATTATTTTCTAGCACTAGCTCGTATGGTCTCTTTATGACTCCACCAAACTAATTACTGAGAGTCTCTTAAAGTTTTTGTTCTGATTTTTGCGTATAAAATTTTACACTTGTTTTTTAAAAATAGCCCAAAGATTTAATAAGATTTGAAGTCTGGATTATTAGCAATAATGCTTAGCAACTTGATTAATATGCACTATAAAATGGTTAACAGCAATACAAAAACGTGAATAGAATAATAAACAAACAGTTTCGACACACATTTAATTGTATTTTACATAATAGATTAATTTATTTGGAAAAATTACTCACATACGAAAGACAAGGAAAATTTCTTTCCATAAACCCCTGTATTATATATAACAAGTTCCACATCATACAAATAACAATAAGACCCATTCTTTTAAATTCGACTGCGTCCGGTACTTTGATATTCAACTAGCTATTGATATTACATATCAAGCAATGTTAATATCAGCAGACAACCACTTTCGAATAGTTTACACTTCGATCCATACCGAAAAATTACCTCATAAATTAAAAGTGTCATCATCTATCACCAATGTTAGTGGAATAAAAATCTTGTATTGTATAAAAATATGATGCTATTCCTCGTGAATGACAGTTTTGAACGTAATGACTTCTTTCGTAAACATAACGTCCCCAAATTCGATACGTTGTATAATGTAATAAAATTATTTAAATATAGGCAATCGAATTTATTCCAGATTGTTTGAAGCGGTCACATCATGCTGATATGTAGAGTAATATTTGCAGAAGACAGCCTCTAACGTGTGCTAGAAAGTGTGCGTTATTTCACAAGCTTTGAATTAATTGTTCATTTTACCGACAGTCAACTACCGAGAGGGATAACTTCGAAATAAGCTGGAGGATATTTATCGGTGAAATGAATGATTGGTGGTACTGGGCGAAAAGAACGCGAATTCTCAAAATTTTAATTCGTGACATCATCAGTGCGACCCTCGAGTTAATTTCAAATCCCGAATTTTTTTTCTCGGAAACGCAGAACTTTTTTGAAAATGTTGATATCCGCCTTACAGTGGGTTCGCAAAGGGATAAGCAACGAGCGACCAGAGGTAGTTTCCATGTAAGATTCGTCGTATCATCGCGATCGAAGCGTTTCAATCATTCCCGCCATTACTATACCTTAGAAATATGAATTAAATGAAAGAGAATTCGAACGAATTAGAAAGCTTTCGTTGATGGACCTTGAGGATGTAGAGGAAGAAGAAGCAAAGTAAGGAATTTCTTTTGATGCTATTACAAGCATTCTGGGATATTTATCTGATTGGAATAAGCATGTAGGGTCCATGAAACCACTAATACAGAAACAACGGAGATCGATCCCGCATTAGCTGAATACCATTTGGAGGCTTATGATGAGAGCGGATCGGGACAATGTTAGTCCGTCGGCATTTACTGGTTGAAAGCTTTTGAACGATTTATATGGGCTTACTCTGTTTCTTTTTCTAGCACTGACTATATTTGGAAACTCTAATAGCCTTTCGTATTATACATCGAATGATGATGATCCGTATATAACACTCGATGAGGTAGTGGAAAAGTTTTTTATTCAAGAAATGCCACCAATTTTTACTTCATGCTTTATTCCTTCTCATCAGTTTTTGTCAACCTAGTCTAACGAAGATGATGAAGACGTGCAAATATTACCAACAGACAATCTTATCATAGCTGCGAAAACAGAAGATGATGTCTCCCAATTAGAGATTTACGTATATGGAGAAGACGAAGACAACTTATATGTACACCATGACATATTATTGCCCTCATTTCCCCTCTGTCTTGAATGGTTAGACTTTCGATTAGGACGGAACGCACAGATAGAAGGTGGCGGGAATTATGTCGCTGTTGGAACGTTCGAGCCAGAGATTGAGATTTGGGATCTGGATGTGATTGATCCTATGTATCCTGATGCTATTTTGGGTAAAAGTCAAGCAGAAACGGGAAGTAGGAAGGGGAGAAAGAAAAAACGTAATAAGGTAGACATTGAAACCAAACTCTTACAACAGTGCTCGTGATTAATAATACAGAAATATTAATTATTCTGGAAGCCCAATCCAGATTATCATACCGACGCCGTCATGTCTCTGTCATGGAACAAGCTACATAGGTGAAATGAGCTAATGAGATCTTCTACTGATATTTTACTTCGGTCTCATATCACTAACCATTTCCGAAAATCTCGTAGAAATATTCTTGCGTCCTCTTCAGCAGATACAACAGTAAAACTTTGGGATTTATCCTCGCTATCAGCAGCACACTCGTTTACGCATCACAAAGGCAAGGTTCAGTCAGTTCTCTGGCACCCAATTGAATCAACCGTACTCGTAACCGCATCTTATGACAAGACAGTCACGGTTCTTGATAGTCGGGCACCAGATAACGTTACTCTTTGGAATCTAGGAGCTGATCCAGAATGTATCCATTGGGACCCGTTTGCGCCATACTGTTTTTATGTTAGCAGTGAGGATGGCTTGGTTCAGTATTTTGATGTGAGGAATGGATCGGGTGGAGCAGTGTTTAGGCTTCACGCACACGATGCACCAGTGTCTAGTATGGATGTGAATCCGTCAATTAATGGATGTCTTGTGACTGGATCTACTGACAAGACAGTAAAAATTTGGAATATAAACGATGGGAAACCTGGTATGGTTTTGTCCCGGAATTTTGATCTGGTGAGTATAATAAATTTGAGATTGTAATCTATACCCGAATGCTAATGTTATTTGTATGACTCATAGGGTAAAGTGTTTACAATTAGGTTCTGTCCTGATTCGCCGTTTCAACTGGCAATGGCCGGATCTAATGGCAAGGTACACATTTGGGATATATCTTCAAACGCATACGTAAGAGAGGCGTTCAAGGAACGCGGCTTAATACCGAGCACCACGTTTACGTTAAGCGAGGTAAGCACACAAAATGTCGTCTGTAGAACAACCAACATTCTTGTACTAATACTTTTTCATCTGTTAGAAAACGGTCACGTTACCAGATGACACAAATGAAAATGAGAGCGAAGATGAGGATGAGGAGGAAGAAGAAGATTTGGAAAGAATGGAAGACGATAGTGGAAATGATGTTTAATGTTATGGAATTTCTGTTGAGATTTATGCATAATATAGAAAGCATTAGCATCGTGTATTATATATATAACATTACACCAGCTCATCAAACTCAGTTTTCGAATAGAATAGAGATTCGTTTTATTAATTTTTATGACCTTAAATACAAAAAGAACAAGACAGTTCATGCCATCATTACCAAAACTTGCAAAGAATTGTGATGATGTTGTCTCAAGGCAATAGCGAAGCCCGGAAAGGATAACTTTTCTGACGTTTCTGCCATCATGACGAAAGCACATTTGTGGCAACTTTTTATATGCTCCGTAATGCAGCCACTCACATCATATCTTGTATCGAGGAACGTCATGTACCCAAACCGGATTCCAGAAAACGCAACCTAAGGGATACGTATTAACCATTATGAAATTAACTCATTAAACACACGGGTAAAAAACTGGTTACGTGCACCATAGTTTAGATTAATCGGGTACAAAATCTTTTTTAACTTTTAATACACGTGTCTGTTGATCCAATACTTTGTAGTTAAGCCAAGCGTGTAATGCCTCATTCATATCTAATGGTCTCTTCTATGATTTATTAAAAACTGGTCGACAGAACACTTTTTATTATGAGAATTCGTTTAATAAAGTACTGGTAACCAATTGATTGGTTTTCTATCTTAATCATTATCTTACGTTCAATCGACCGGTTAAATAAATGTTCGACCAATAAATTAACGATTGGTTATTAGCTATTGCATGTCATTGAACGGGTCAAACGCGTCAAATGTGTTGCTGAACGCTTTATCAAGTGCTGTACGGCTTACTAAGTTTGAAGAGTTAACCACAGAATTCTGCCCTTGTCGCACAGGTCTACCACGACGCATTGGTGTAATGTTGGACATTGCACTGTTCAATATAGGATAAGAAGGACTAGTACCCATATAACTCTGCTGATAATCGTCCTGTGTCGAATTTGTTGTGACAACTACCGCCGTTGGAGACAACATAGACCGCTGCGATATATTGGGCTGTTCCGGATAAATCTGCGATGTAGACAACGTTAAGTCTCAATTCAAAGATGATATGACATCTATACGGTGCAGCTTCTTATATTGAAAACAATCCATACATTTACTATTGGACATGTCACTCCTCTCAAAGCACAGACCCTATTGGTGATTTGGTAAATATTCGGTCGTAATGAAGAATCCTCCTTTAACATTGATTCTAAATAATTTTATCGCATGTTAGATTCTCATTGAGAGCCACTTTACATTATTAAATTCACTGGCCTCAACACTAACCTATCAGTCCGATGAGACTTTGTGAGAAAACAGGATATTGAGGTATCGAATAACGAGCACTAAGAATAGCCAACTGTCCTTGATCTTCAAATGGGGTTGTATAATAACATAATTTATACAAGAGAACTCCCAGAGCCCAAATATCTACATGAAGTTGTTAACTTAGCAAGGATTATATCCATCGTATTGTAATGTAGTACATTTGTAATAAATACTTACCTGACTTCTCGTCAATGGGACGTTTCTGATACACATCAACCATTTCTGGAGCTCTATATTGCAATGTGGTGTGTTTCTGTAGGTCTTCTTCTAGTAATTGCAATTCGTGCCATGTTCTTGGTGTGTCAGGTTTGATCATGTTTACAGTACATGAACCAAAGTCGCATAATTTAAAGGTATTATTATGATCTCTGAGGACATTTTCCACCTTTTGTGCAGAGACGGATTAGAGAAGTAACGCCAAGAAAAAACATATAGTGAGGAAGGGTGGTCTCACCTTCAGATCTCTATGTAGTATTGGAGGTTTTGAATAGTGCATGTGGGCTACCGCCTAAAATGCCAAACGAAATTCAGAAAATAGGTTTATGGTACAACTGTCAAAAGATCCGCATGTTTTCATTAAAAGTGGGGCCACCTCACATATGTCTTGGAAGATTTTGAGTATTTCGACTTCAGTCAAGCGATGTTGTAGTCGTCTATTCATAAGATCAATGACAGGTCCCCCTGAGACAATAAATATATGAGTATAGAATAATGAGATTGACAGTCAGTGCTGGCAGACGTACCGCGACAATACTCCATCAATATAAATATTTCGTAGCCCCCATTTCCCAACGTCCCAGTATGTGAATCAATAAAATACACAATATTCTTATGGTTGCAAAGCATTTTCTATAAACAAACCAAACTCGCATTTAGCTCATCGAACGAATTTCTGGATAAATGATCTCAATAATACCTTACAGTTCAAATTAACCAATTGCTTACCATAAAATTGACCTCGTTTAAGACAGTATTGAAGCCAGATTTATCGGATACAGCAATACGTTTAAGCACAGCTTGGTATTCATTGTTCACCGGTTCAGCAAGGCGTACAAGATAAACATGCGCAAAGCCGCCTTATTTTAATAAAAATTGAACGATTAATGCCAAATTGTAATAATTCGCTTCAAGTCGTGCCAGTCTATTGCTCATGTACCTTCTGATAAGTATCTCTCGATGATAACTCGATGCCGTCCGATCAATAATTGCGTTCCTGGTTGTAATGTCCCCGGTGGACTAACTGTCGAAAAACCTCCAAAAGGTTGCTGTTGGAATCTATCAGTCTGTATGTTGGTTTGTGCATCTATGTGGGTTATTTGTTGATTGTTAAAGAGAGTAGAGTTTGGAAGATGACTGGATACATTACTTGAGAGTTGGGAAGCATTGTTCGATAGTTTCTTCAAGTAAGACTGCATTGTATGGCCAGTAAAGGTGATATTCTTTTCTCTATTATTGTGGGACAACTCGACGGGAATGAGTGATGCAGCCGGTATTTATGTGAAATCTGCCGATCGTTTGCTCGATGACGACATATCTTTCTTGTCACCTTCCCGTCTACGAATATTGGTATAGCTAATTGTTTTTTGTCCAAATTTTGATTAAACTTATAAGGTTATTCAGTAAGCTTTCCTAATACGTACAGATTTTTGGATCAAAGAAGAAGGTCACGTAGTTTGGGACAATTTTACAGATATTTTATACAAGCTGTACAAAATGCTCGACTTGACACCTGACCAATGGCTTCAACTTCTCCAAGAAGCCTGGCAACACGTAGTGAACAGCTTCAATATGACGGAGGTTGTTCAGTCACTAAAGACAAACATATCTGCCGTTGTTGCAGACACCGATGTTGTTATTCTGATCGGTGTATTTCTAGTGCTGTATATTGCGTTTTCTGTCGCTCGTTACATCCTCGGGACAGTAATGAAGCTTGCAAGATTTGCGTTATTTCTGGGATTAATTGTTGGAATATACTGGATATATCTCAGCATCGATCCGGCGAAGGGCAACGAAGAACTGAGAACAACGACGAAGAAAGTGGTACAACAAGTGAAAGGGGTAATGCGTGATGTTGTCGACGAATTATGATTTGATACCCAATATCCATCTTTCTTTTCTATAAATGATTGAATAGAACACATTCATCGTCCATTGACCGATTGACTTTCTGTTGTGTGGGAGACATTAGACCAATAGATTGTTTCAGTTTAGGGATTGCGTTTATGCCAGTAGGCCAAAGATGAACAACATTTAACAGTGTATATAGTTTGTATTGAGCCGATAGATGAGACCTTAATACTCTGTTAGATCAATCTTTTTACTTTATATCAGCCGCAGACAGGTGAGCGAAACGCTACCGCGATGCTTGCGGCGAGAAAGATTTTATGCTATTTGTTTCTCGTGTGAACGTAAACTGTCCGAGTTTATATGCTAGATATTTGAGTGATGGGTATGGTTATGTTAATAAGTAACATTTAGGGATTTGTATGGATGATTGGTGTTGCTATTAGACACCCAAGAATGGTTGGTGTGGTTGGAAAAACAACAATATATCTGATAACTTTTGGAAAGGCACAACTCATGGACTAATTATACATGTAATTGTCATTTAATAACAGTGTAGTCCTTCACCAAATACAAAGGGGTTTGCATAGTAATAGTGATAACTTGTATTAGAATTTGTTTCGTTTTTATTTATTACTCAACTGGAACACTTAAAAAAGTGGAAATATTTTAAATTGGCTACAGAGCCTGTACTTAACTTTCAAGTTAAATGCATAGTTAAGTTTGGGAATTCATTTCATTTCATTTCTTATTATTATTATTATTATTATTATTATTATTATTATTATTATTATTATTATTATTATTATTATTATTATTATTATT